AGATCAGATGCTGGATGGTGATGGTGTAAAAGCATAGAATAGGATGTTATCTTTTTGTGTACATAGATTCTTTTGTAAACTCTAGTATGTTGTTAGTTTGGCTTACTATTCTCTTAATAGTATAGGACCTTTTATATATATATATATATATATATATATATATATATATATATATATATATATTTATTGGGTGTTATAGTTATAATTGAATAATTATAATATCTTACATATTTCTTTTTAGTTAATAGTTTTTTAGATGTATGATAATTTTTATAGTAATTTAAAACTATTAAAATGGATTGTTACAAATACATTTATTGAAATTGTTTTACCATAATTCATTGTCTTTCTCTCTTTCAATTAATTGAAAGGGGAAGAATGATTCAAAATAGAATCCAATGATACACTCTTAAATTCAATTTACTTTATTTGTTTTCCTATAAAATCATATGTCCATTTAAATTGACCATTTGATATATAATACTACTGACTTATAACCTTGGACATTATACTAATAGCATTAATTTTGAATCTTACCTTCTACCTAAGCTAATAACAATGCGATCAAAATTCCCCATATTTCAAGAAATAAATTTACATAATTTATTTTTTTATAAGAGGAACAATTAATTAAATAACTTAAAGAATTGGCTAACAAAACAACATTAAGTTTGTAGGATATAATTATAAGATACAATTGAATATGAACTTAAAACCCTGTTATGTCATATTTTACAAATCCAAATTGTTCAAAACTGTTTATCTATGAATTTTCTCACATAAATAAATAAATAGTTACTTTTATAATGATGAGATGAATATTACTTTTAATGTTCTTAGTTACAATGGAAAAACAATTTAAATATTTCTTACTATTTGAGAACTAAATATTTTTATTTTCTCTTTCTTTACATTTCTTTTGCTTTATTGTATGAAAGAAAAAATAAGAAGGACGTTTAGTTTCTAGTTTAAGGTTCTTTGTTTCTCTTATTTATAACAGAGATTTTATTATTTTCTACTTAGAACTAGATAAAACAATATGTAATTTTTCTTTCTTTAATAAAATTTCATTATTTGCCTATCATTTGTTTTGTTCCTTTTATTTTCATCTTTTATTATGGTTTTGAGTAGTTGTGATATTCCTCTAATACCTAATAGTGATATCAAATCCACACATTCATGTGATTACATTTTGTTGCTATTGTCATTAGAACAGTGCTTCATATGGATATAGTGTGGTAGTTCGAAAATGCATGTCTATGAAAGTTCTGAAAAAGGAAAAATTTGGTATTTAAGAGTGTCCATTAGTGACCCACGTCTCTTTCTTGGAAATTACCTGGTGCATTGGTTCACAATCTGTTTATCTTGTTTCAATAAACAATACTATTCATAATGAGAAGTGCATAAATCGATTTTAAAGTCATGACAACAAAATATGAGATAGAGAAGTTTAATGTGAATAATTTCTCATTATGGAAATTTAAGATGAAAGCAATTTTGAGAAAGGAAAATTGTCTAACGATGATTGAAGAAAACCCCGTGGATATCACATATCAGAATTGGAAGGAAATATATTGCAAATCTGCGCTTAGCATTGACAGATCGATGTAATTTTATTCTAAATTAAGGAGAAAACTACAAAGATGGAGGTTTGGGTTACTTTCATCAAATTGTATGAAGTTAAGTTACTTCACACAATAATATTCTTTAAAAGAGAACTTTATACTTTTTGAAAGAGTGAGTCCATATTAGTGACAGACCACATCAACAATTTGAATATGTTGTTTGTCCAACTTTCAATGGCAAATTACAACATAATTGAAAAGGAACATGCAGAGCTTATTACAAACTTTACCTTATTTGTATGATCAACTCATCATCAACATAACACATTATAACATTGATGAGAACCTAAACTTTGAGGATGTTTCTAGAACTATTCTTGAAGAAAATCCAGGGGAACAAACAAAGCGCATATGATGGAAGTTTCAAAGCAAGCAAAGACTTTAGTGATGATGAGAGGTAGATCAACAAAATAAAGATCTAACAGGAGTCATACCTATGATAGATTATAGTCTTAGAGTAAGAAGCATATCAAATGCTATAATTGTGGTAAGAGGGGACATGTCAAGAAAGATTGTTGACACTAAAAGAGTGAATGAAAGAACTTTGAATCATCAACCACACAAGGTTGTGTGTCAAACACCTCAGAGGACCAAGATATGTTGGTTAGCAAAATAATGATTAACTCTAATGGTGGAATTACATGATAAATGGATAGTAGATTCAGGTGCAACTTGACACATGACTTCAAATCGAGATTGGTTTTACAGTTATGAATCCATCTTAGGTGGAACCTTGTTCATGGGCAATGTCCATGCCTTAGAGATTTGTTAAGTTGGTATTGTCAAGATAAAAATGTATGATGATATTGTTCGTATAGTTCAAGGAGTATGGTATGACATTTGAAGGACTTAAAGAAGAATCTATTATTTATTGGGCAATTAGATGGCCTCAGGTTTAAAATCCACGTTGAAGATGGAATCGTAAAGGAGGTGGGAGAGAATCTGGTAGTGATGAAAACATAAAAGATCATGTGGAATCTGTACATGCTTATAGGAGATACGTTACAAGAAGTTAATGCAACAATTGCATTGATAAGTTAAGAAGAAACAGTAATAATGTGTCACCGTAGACTTGGACATATATATGTTACAACGATGTTTGCAAATCCTTGTGGAACGTAATCTCTTACATGTGTCTAAGGAGGTTGGTTTACCTTTTTGAAAAAATAGTGCGATAAACAACCAATATAGATTGTAGTTAGCTAGAGTGGCTACCAGAAACAAACACATATTAGGCGTGGGTCATTCTAATGTGAGGGAATCACCAATATTATGCCTCGGAAGGGCAAATCATTTTTTGTCGATTGATAATTACTCTAGAAGATTATAGGTATACCTCATCAAGAGGAAGTCAAGTGTGTTACCAATATTCAAGGAATCCAAAACACAAGTAGAGCTTGAAATTAGAAAAATAATTAAGTGCTTAGGCTATAGTGACAATGTGAAGGGGTATCTCTTGTGGGGTCCCACTGCCCACAAAGTTATTGTTAGCAAGGATGTAATGATGCTACAACCAAAAGGATTTAAAGAATAAGAAAATTTGGTTTACAAGTTGAATAGATCTCTCTGTATAGTTTAAAGCGAGCGCCCAAGTGTTCATAGAAGATATTTAATTGCTTTGTTGTTAACCTTGGTTACAGTAGTACACTACAATAGGTTTGGTGAGGACGATTTAATCATCTTGTTGTTGATGGTATGTTAGAGGCAGAACCCAACAGATCTCAAATCCAAGAATTGAAGACACAATTAACTAGGGAGCTTGATAAAAAGGATTTGGGACTAACAAATAAGATTTTATGGATGTAAATTCATCAAGACAATAAAGAAACAAAGATTTGGCCTTCTTAGAATAATTACGTAATAAAAATTTTGTGGCGCTTCAATGTGCAAGATTCCAAGACAATATCTATACCACTTCCTATCAATTTTTCCTCACGTATGAGTCTTAGCAATGAAGCGAAGAGGATGGAAATGTCTCAAATATTGTATGCATGAACAATTGGTAGCCTTATGAATGCTAGGATTTGTATAAGACTAGACATTGCACAAGCAATGAGAGTGGTTAGTAAGTTCAAGACAAATCTAAGTGGAGAGTATTGAAGTACTATTAAGAGGATCCTAAGATACATCAAACGAATCTCGAGTGTTGCAATATAGTGACAAAGAATAAACCATAGTATTTCATCAAAATCTTCAAATAGATATTGTAAGAAGAGAAGTCTCTCATAAGTGAAAACTTTGGGGCTTAATTTTCAGAGTTTAATGTTTACTTGGGAGCACATCCCAAAGTCTCTTCCTTTTCATTCTTCTTTTATTATTTGAGAGAAAAATTAAAAGAGAAAATTAGTTTTTCCTTTAAGAAAGAGAATATTAGTTTTTCTTTTAAAAGAATATGTTAATTTCTTCTTTAAGTCCTCCTTATATTTATTTTTCCAATTTTGAAGAGAAAGATGGTTATTGTTCTCTTCTTATAACTAAAGAGAATGATATATAATTTTTCGTTCTTTTGTTTTTTTTATATATATTTTATTTTAGTTTTGAGTAGTTGTTGTCTGACACCAACATTTTAAAAGTGGTTATTTCTTAATTTAAAATAGCACAGTATCTAAGGGTTTCCTTCCAAAAGTTGAACCCTCGAGCCATCACCAACAAACCAACCAACCATTATTTTCCAACATTTTTGTTTTAAATTTTCTGGGATTAATTTTCTTATATTGGATGTTCGATAACATAGAAACTAACCCGTTCTTTCCAAATTACACACGTTCACATAGAATAATCAAATTGACCATTCAAATTTCAAAAGATAACAGCTTTACCAAATTTAAAACGTATCAACAAAACTTTCAAACAAATGAAACACATCAACCATCGACAACGATAGCTATAATAATAGAATTCATAATATAATCTACAATTCTAAATCTTAACAAGAAAAGGAATCAACCCTCCTACCTCGGTCTTGTCCATACATGCATATATCCCTAAGTACCCTTAACTTATACATAAACTACCACGCAAAAGCAAATGGTATTATTGTCTAATCCCTTACTGTTATCTCAGCATGAAGCTACCATTCTGAGCTCACCATGCAATCCCTTGAAAACAACCACACTGCGTCTCCTTCCTCGTTTCTTCACACTTCCAATCAGACAAAACCATTGCTTACGTTGCACATTTTCATCGGTGCGTGTTCTTCACGTAAAGCATTAGCTTGTGTCCTAAAGCTATGAATCTTGTGCTGTGGAAGTTTTGTCTACACTATCTAATGTAACATTTTAAAATGTGCAAGTGGAGGAAGAAGTGCTGCGTTGAATAAAAGGCAGCGTCTATCTGTTTTTGCAGTGTCAAACTTAACCTAAACCTGAAAGGAAAATGGAGACTCAGTTTTCAAATGGAAAAAAGGCAATGGAAGAAGAATTGATGAGAGGGCGTGACATGGCAAACCAGTTACTTGATGCACTTGGTCATGGTAAATTGAACACTCATCTTCAAGATGAGGGTACGTCCAAGTCAGTGTTACCATTTGTTGAAGATCTTGTGCGCAAGGTCTTGTGCTCATTCACAAATACTCTTTTGCTTTTGAACTCCAATGAAATCACACCGTCTCTCTCATCATCAACCAGTTTCCCTGAGATGGAGTCTCTGCATGAAACCTGCAAGAGTCGCAACATTCTCAACACTAATAACCGAAGAAGGTGCTACAAGAGAAAGTAAGAACTTTATAATTCAAGTCATTCATAGCAATATTATAGTTACTGAGCCAATAAGCTCTTTCTAGTGCAACATTCTCTATTTTAATTTATCAAAAAAACACAAAAATATTAGGGAAACTCGACACTAACAAATTTTTGTAACTTTCGATCAAATTGAGCTTAAAATGGTATATTTAAAGGAGTGAACTAAATAGTAAAATGATTTTTGAGATTTTTTTTCTATACAATAACATTAATGAAGTTCAAGTTTAAGATTTTATGAAAAATACATAATTTATCAGCACTAGATCAACCCGAATGAATAATATGATTACTAAGAACATTATAGTATAATGATATATTAGTAAAAAATATCAGAGATTATTAAAAGAGGCTGGGTGTATCTTGGCTAAATGTTTAAGACACAAATAACTATGATTACACTCTTATTGGGATTCTTATTTTTGTCCCAATATTTCTTAACAATTCTAACGATTTGATAATTGGATTAGTTGTGAAAATACTTAAATATAGGAATTCTTAAATTGATAATTTTGTATCTTATATAAAGATCAATTGCGCCAACTTGGGAGAAGGACAGCTCCATACTGATTGAAGATGGCTATGCATGGAGAAAGTACGGACAAAAAATGACATTGCACGCAAAATACCTAAGGTATATTCTTCAGTTTCAAATCAAATTAACTATAATTTTCTCTTTCTTTTGATTTTGGAGTGATGAATCCAATATGGTTTTGCAGGAGCTACTACAGGTGCACTTACAAGACTGATCAGAGATGCTCAGCAATGAAACAGGTGCAGAGGATTCAAGATGATCCTCCTTTGTACCGAACAACCTATTATGGGCATCACACTTGTCGAAGCCCTGTGAATCCCGAGATTATTATGGAACCTTTTTCTCCTTCTGCATCTTCCACGTTACTTAGCTTTGATAACAGCCTTCATAGCAAACAAGAAAACCCGTTTCCTTCACCACTGCTTGCATCAATCAAGCGGGAGCCTCAGAAAGTGATTCACGATGAACATGGTGCTCAAAACCAGTTGACTGCGTTAGAGAACCTCCTATTATACGATTGTGATATTTCTTTTGATTATTCGAGGAATGCCACTTTGCTGTCGTCGGCTGAATCCGTTCAATTTGAGAATGTTTTTGAACAGTTTGGATTTTGATGGCTCGGTATTTGTTTTCGAGAGGTACTTAGAATTGTACAGTTACATCTCAGTGTTGTATTATATAGTTTCTTCAATAAAACATCTGTAACTTCAATCTTGTCAAAGTATTATCACTGGGTATTTTATGAGGGTTAATTTCCGGCGGGTTGGGAAACCCCGGAAAATTAATGGCAGTTATGATCAAACCGCTCCTAGAATTTAATTTTTTTCTCTTTATAATCATTTTCTGGAAAATATTCTTCCCCAAATTAGCTCCTTCTACTCCTCATGCCTTCATTTTCCAGTCTTTCTAATTTTCTCAAACCCAAGCGTTGTTCCCTCCCTCCCTACGCCTTCATCTATGCATCGGATTTTCTCGCATATCCTAGTTCTCTCCCTTCCTCCTTACGCGTTCATCTCTGCATTTGATTTTCTAGCAAGCCCTGGCGGTTCTCTCCCTTCCTCGCACCACATTCTTGAAACCCTAGTTGTTCCCTCCCTTCCCCGCAAGCCCTAACTCTTATTGTTTGTGGAACTCTTCGGTCTAGGTTCGGCTTGGTCTTCTGTTGCTTAGGAACGAAAACCTGGAGCATTTTTAGGTTGAGCGAGGCCGACCGTCAATTTATTGTTCGTCGGAGGTCCGAGTGCCTTCAATGGAGGGGCTCTGACATGTGTTCGCTCTCGCACCGACCATTAAGGTAAACCGACATTTAATTATTGTGTTCATCGCTCTCTCTACTTTTGCCTCTCTGAGATGTTATCACAGTAGAATTTCATTGGTTCATCACAATCAATCTTCAAGTTATTTCAACCACAGGAATTGACAAATAACTTATGATGTTGCTTGAAACTTAACTACTACGCTAGATTAAGCTACACCACTTTTTTGTTTTACTTCTCTATGTTAGGAAGTCTCTCTAGTTATAATATCCAGATTATTGTTGGCATATGAAAATAACTTGTAGTGGGCCACTTGAATACTAAAAGAATATTTCAACCTGAGTTTTATCTCAAACTACTTTTCTAAATGTTGACTCACGAGTTGTTGTTCCTTCCAATCATCCCAGTAACATTGATGTCCAGGTACATTAAGAATATAGTTACTCACGTTGAAGTTTATGTTTAATATATATATTTCCTGCTTAGGATTACCATGCTAGAAATGATTTTTCTCATCAAACCATTGTTTAGTTTTTCTTTGACGAACTGTCGATCTATCTCTATATGCTTTATCCTATAATACTGAATTTGATTGTGAGTAATACTAATAATTGACTTATATCATAATAAAGATTCATAGTTCTTCACAGTTTTCTTTTAGATCATTCAAAATAATTTTCAACCACAGTACACGAAATTCATGGATTGCCGGCGGGCTATTACCGACAACCCTTAGGCCTTCGGTAAATTTTGTTTACCGAAGGATTTTTCGACGATCTCTAAA